AGGCTCTCCATGCAGCACAGATCAAGGCAGATTCGATTGCAGTCATTTCCCCCTCCTTCTTCAAGCCCAAGAATGCCCGTATGTAATAGTTTTTGTGGGAAAAGCATGTGTTTCCACTTCTTGAAATGCAAATGTGTGCCGCTTAACACCCACTTTTACATTTCATTCACATGTCAACTCTACCTGTCTATCTCAGTCAAATATGACCGTTATTTCCCGTCTCATCCTACAGATGCTTTGAGGTCTTACCTCAAGGCTGTGGCTTCAGCTGCCCCAAATCTGCCTTTCTACTATTATCACATCCCGTCTATCACTGGAGTTAATGGTTAGTGCCATTGATTATGCACTTTTAGAAATGGAAGAATTCTGCATCCCTAACTATGGCAAAAGCACATTGAATGTCAGAGCGTGTTTGATGACAGCAAGGCCTTTTTTCTCTCTTTTCTCAGTGCTGGTGAGAGATCTGTTGGTCGGCATTGAGGAGGAGATTCCCTCCTTCAGAGGTGTGAAGTTCAGCGGCATTGACCTGATGGACTTCGGCCTGTGTTTCAGCCTCATGAAGCCTAACTGGTCTCTCCTCTACGGCGTGGACGAGGTCAGCTTTTATTCCTCCACATCTGTTGAGATCCATCGGTAGCCGTTAATAATGCAATGTGACGTTTTATGACTCTACAGTAGAGCCAGCCTGAATATCAATATCTTTCATTTTGTTATAGCAAATGCTTTCGGGTCTGGTTTTGGGAGCCGACGGAGCAGTTGGAAGGTCAGTGTTTGTGATCCTGCATGCAGTTTGTCTCCTTTTAGTTTTTTTCTGCTTAACAGTTATACATTTAAACTGGTTTCATTTCTCTGCCCGCAGCACATATAACTATGTAGGATGCCAATTCAACAAGCTGTTATCAGCATTTGAGAAAGGCGAACTTGTCGAAGCCAGGACAATACAGGTACCATCCATCTCCATGCTGTTGCTCCCAACTTCTCATTCATATTTGACATCATTTGTGGTTACTGACATATTTGTTTCATTTCCATGTGCAGTTCAAGTTGCAAGACTTTCTCGGGTTGGCCATGAAACTCGGTGAGAGACACTTGCTTCATGAGGATTTTGTAACAAATATATGTAATTTAATGAATGGTGTTTTAGAAGTATTTCTCCACCTGTAACACTATTTTATATTTGTTTGCAGGCTTTGATGTGGGAGTGAATAAGCAGCTGATGGTGGAGGTGTCCGGCCTGAGCCTCGGGCCCCCCCGATTCCCGGTGATGCCGTGTCATCCTGATGTCGCTGCGTCCATCAAACACAAATATGAAAGCATTTTTCCTCAATGCTAATGTTTTCATACTGGATAGTTGAAGTCCCTCAACGGTTCAACTTTCAATCAGATCTTAGTATTAAAAGCAGGGAAATGTTATATTTTAACCAATATTCGAATGGATCATTTTATAAAATGTTAATTTACTTACCCATATTACCCGTGGTTTTTTTGCCATTTAGTTTGTTACATTTAGAGAAAAGGGGCTATCAAAAGTTAACAGTGTTACTTTATTATTCTGTACTGTGTGAGGTGAATCTCATTTGTTTGAGTTCTGTTCTGTCAGACGCGCAACGTGACAGAAAAAAAAAAATGAGAGCCACCGGATAGTTCACTGGTTAAAACTCTCTGCGTTGACTGTTTGACTCTGGCCTGCAGAGGGATTTGGTAATTTCATCTTTCATAAATGCACTCGCACATGAAACATATTTTAGAATACACTACATAAAATACGTTTTAAATAGGCGTGACAGCTTTGTTATTTAAAGCTGGTTCAGGTTGGTAGAACGTTTTGCCATGAATGACTGGAATTTTCTTTTTCATAAATCAAAGTTACTGCCCTTAAGCTGGTTCAGGGTTTAAGCATCAGATGAAAAATAAGGATGAAAGGTGCTCTGATGTGAAGAATATTACATGAAAAGTGAACACTCCAAACATAAGGGAAAAGGGTGTTATGAAACATCCTCGTTTTTACGGGGGAGCATAAAACCTTTTTTGACTTAGCAAAGGGACATTTACAGTGACTTTTTTTACCAATCCTTTGTATTATTTCTAACAGCTAATCACAAATGTCTTACTAATAAAGCCATTGATAATTACTGGTCTCTGACTTGATGTCTGTTTTTTATGTTCCATTACAAAATCAGAAGTTCAGATAATATCTAAAACCTGCACAATCATACTGATGGAAATTCTGCATATTCCCTGTTCCTGTATCCTAGCTCTGTATTTAACATTTCCTTTAAAAAAAATTATAGTTTGCCAGATTAACTGTGCTTGTTTGATTAATTGTATTAGCTGATAGTTAAATTGTATTTCTGTGTGGATATCTTTCTGCTGATTCTAAGTTTAGAGTTTGGGGAATTTTAAAAAAAAAAAATTAGAGAAATGTAATAGCCTTTTTGTACTTCTTACTACGTGCAAATTGTTGACCTTGTCAATGGTTGGGCCAAACCTGTAGATCACTGCTGTTCAAAATGCCTCCCTACAAGGTTTGTTAGCGTTGTTTTAACCCCTGTGGTCGCTCTCAATACATCTCTATTTGCCATTTAAAAAAAAAAAATTAAAAAAAAGTGAATTTAGAGAATCAGTATGGAAACAGATGTGATAATAAAAAGCATTATAAAAAAACAACATTTAGTCACAGCTTTTGAGAATTCTGTAGCTGTGTTTCTGTCCCACCTCCTTATTAATGTTTATTGCTTTTGTTTCTCTACATCTAAGTCATGATTCATCAGTTGGCTCCCGAATAAAACATCTGAAATCATAACAAGTGCAGTATTTGCATGTTCAGCAACCCATCGCCCCAGGCTGTTGATTTTGTTGTGAACTAAAGTGTGTGTGTGTGTGTGTGTGTGTGTGTGTGTGTGTGAGACTGAGTGACTGAGTGACTGACTGTCAATTAAGAGCTATTAAAGTTGTGTTTTTTGTCATTTGGTCACTGCTATCATCCTGGTAAATAGTTAGCCTGTATATGATATAATGTGCGTATACTCTACAAGAAGCACTGCATTCATGGAAAGCAAATATAATGGTGTTTTGAATGGAATCATTTTATAATGATTTACAAATGAAAACAGGCTGTTTTTCTTCTAAATATCCTACAAATGGATACACTACTCTGATATTTTTCCATTCCTCTCAGAACATGCCACGTCTCTGGCCTCAGTAACTTGTCAGACAGGCAGTAGACGTGCTGTGTGGCAGACGCAGGGGCTCACTTGGTGGGGGTCTGTGGGGTCAGGGCTGCAGCCGGTGACAGAGACTCCCTGTGGACACGCAGCCTGACTCGCTCACAAGTGACAAAACTGAAGGGTTGTGAGAGGTCTGTTGCTCTCTGCATCACTCACTAGGCTGCCAATAGCTTGAAGAAGGAGACTCTCACTATGTGGACAAAGTATTCTGTAGTTGATGCTGTCCCATAGATTGGTTGTGAGTGCAGACCTATATACAGTCTATCTATTTGTTGTGTTTTAGTTTTACAATGTGTGTATGGATTTGGAAAGAGTTCCAATGCTAAAACTCTACCACAAAAGGCGGATTCTTGCTGGCTTTCGTAGCTGGAGCTTAAATTATTTGCTGTACAGCTTTTAGTGGAGCTCATTGCTCCATCTTACATTTAAAATCAGTTGTTTTAAATATATTCGTATAGTCATATAGGACACCTACATAATACATCCTTAGAAAAGCCTCGAATTCTCTTTTTCAAGAGATGACAGAATCCTGTTGCTCCAATAAAAAAGTTATCCCTTTCTTTATGTAATGGAGGAGGAAGCCTGTGTTCCTGAGGCTTCCCCTAAAAGTTACCAATGCTGCCCTCAGCTGTGTATATCTTGCACTTACAACTCCTAGAAAAACTGACTCAGTGCAATCTTTGGTTGCTTCATGGTGTAAAGTACGATAAAGGAGTGGAGAAAGACTGATATCCTTCTGTGCCATAGAGGCATAGTGGAAATGAAAAAGTGGCTTATGTAGTTATTTAGGTCAAGCAGAGTGTCCTGTTTTGTGGATATTGCATCCTTTCCTGGGCATGTTAAAAGGCTATCACTTTCAATGTTCCGAATCAAGGATTCTTAACGCCCGTCTTGAAATAAATAAAAAGGAAAATGACAACTAGACTGGCATTTAATTTGTTATATCATGTTATCTCTAAGTCAGAGGGCACATTTTGTGTGAAAATAAATAAATATAAATATTCACACATTTGGAAAAAGGAACCCAAAAATAATACTCACTAATTTAACAGCACAAATCACTGCTTTCTAACTAACCATTAATTAACAGATTATCAAATTAGTCAAACTAGACTAATTGTATTTTTTATAATTCTTATCTCAAATGAACTATTTAATCTTGGAATCTTGGATCACCTGAAAAATGCCTCGATACAACGAAAACAAAATTACACAATGACTAGGCTACATTTTTTTACTTTAATACTCACATACTTTAGGTGGAGTAATTGCTACTGCATAAAGATCCATGTAATGTAAAATACATTGTCGCAAAACTGGAAACAGGACAGATTTTTTTTAATACTGTAAATATTGTGATTATTATACTTTTATTATACGGTATTATAATGTTTCAATTAGGGAGCTGAATTGAACCCCGTTGCTATTAACCAAACAAAGCATGTCTTTATAGAAAAAATATAAATAAAAGTCACACAGAACTGTATGTGTGTATTATAACGTTGCCTTCATATGTGTAATGCAATTCTTCCTCAGCTGTAAAATGCATAAAAGAAGCTGTCCCACGGCTCAATACAGGGCTGATTTCTTGAGTTGTTTTTAATTACTGTAAACATTTCAGTAAAATGAATTAGCCTCATTTCAATTAAGGGTCTGTATTCCACAACTGACTAGAAAACAAAAACACGTCACAAGTAAAAAATGACACGGAACTGTTTTGATCATCCTCTGGTTCCGCATAACGAGAGGGCGGAATTATTTAGCGGTGACACCCAAAGCTCTTGCGTTTCCGGCCAGCTCAGCGTCAGTCCTGTGGTGTTGTCAGCTCCCTGTCAGTCGCTCTCTGCTTCACCTGTGATATATATCTGTTCCCCCGGAGAACCACCGTCACCGGAGAGATGGTGCTGCTGACGATGATCGCTCGGCTGGCGGACGGGCTGCCGTTAGCCGCCTCCATGCAGGAGGACGAGCAGGTTAACATTTCTGTGTTTTTTTTATTAGCTAGCTGTTTCTGTTATCACTGCAGGATCCTGCTGTGACGCCTCTGAGTTCTAGCTATGGTAGTGACACGTTAGCTAACATCCACCAGCTACTGCAGGCCTGTTTATGTCCACATAGCCTGCCTTTTATGTACATAAAGCAACGGATTCATTAAGCACAGAACAGGCTCACTGTGTTTCAACCCTGACCTTATTTCATCATAATGAAGTATCGCATAACTTTGCCTGTATGCTGTGTGAGGCAGGGCTGGGCTATGTGGAGATAATCTAATATAATGTGGTTTTGTAGCAAATGGCTCAATATTGATATTGCCACGACATTAGGCTTTTGATGAGATGTTTGTATATAACAGTTATTGAATTATTACATAGATAGTAAGATAGATAGATAGATAGATAGACTCTTGATCCCAAATTGTGAAATGCTTGTGTTGCAGCAGATTATAAGGCATTGCACAAGAGAAATGAATATACAAAGTAAATATAGGCCTATGAAAAACGATGTATATTATCTAGTATACACAGTATGAAATATAACATTTGAATTGAATTAAAATAAGGAAACAAAAACAGAATAATGAAAAAAGCCAAACCATAGACTAGACACTATAACAAAAAATGGAAACAAAATAGATGAATGAAAGTATTACTGAAAAGAAAGACAATTTCTCTCAATATTACAAAACAAAACATCTTTAAATAACCACAATGATGACAGAATAAATATATATATATATATTTATATATATTTATTTATTTTTGGGGTCATCTACTCCAATCAGAAAGAGACAAAAGCATAAAACAATTGTTTTTACTGACTTCCTTAGATACAACTGGGATTATAAACGGGATCTGATCAGAGCATTTAAATAAATACAATGTATTAAAAAAACAAGCTGGTTTGGACAATAGGGATGGTTAGAGTTATTGCATTTCTAAATACATTTACACAAGTGAAACAAAAAGGTCTGAAAAAAATGCGTATTACACAATGTGTCCAGCAGAGGGCACTGACTCATTTATTTCAAAATATAAAATGATCTACTCCGAAGATACTGTGCTTGATTATTATAAAGTGTTTTTAAAATGATAACAGGCTTATTTGTTTTGTATGTTGTTTAAAGACCCCTAAATATTAAACTCCCCAAGGGACTGAATGGTGCAACGTGCCTGCTTGGATTGCATGCTATACCCTGTACACTGTCTAATAAGGGTACAAAAAAAACCTTAAAAAGATTGATATTATCCTCTAAACTCTATTACACAAACATAAACTTAACATATGAAAGATGTTAACATTGTACCATGTTAAGTTGTTGTGTTATGTTTGAGCATGAGCTGCCAGGAGTCTAACATCTCTCCCTCACTCTCTCGTTTGCTTTCATAAAGGGAAGTGAAAAGGTTTGTTGTGTCTCTGCTCTGCAACCTCATACGTGTTTCTGTGATGCTACAGTGTTTCTGTAGGAACATCTCTTATTTGCTAGAGTAAACAACACTAATGGAATCAATCTCATCAATCACCAAAATGCTTCACATAAACGATTAACCACAAACAGCTGGAGTGGCTTTTTGTCCAAAAATAAAGCATTGCCTTCAGTCTCAGTTGTAGCATCACACTGCTGAGTCTGTCTGTGGTGTTTTGTGCCGACAGTTTATATCCTGCACACTAAACAGGGCAAGAAATTGTCAAAATATATTTGTAATCTCTCTTTTTAAACATTTAAGCAAGTTAACACGCCCATATCTCTGTCATTTATGTCTCTGGTGCTAAAAAGAAATGCTACATGCAAATGTGGGAAACAACAGTCAATTTCTTGCCCTGATGAAACTGCATATTTTCTGTGTGAGATGTCTGGTATCTGATGTGTTTTCTGTTCTGTATGTTCAGTTGGGTCGGGACCTTCAGCAGTATCAGAGTCAAGCTAAGCAGCTCTTCAGGAAACTCAATGAACAGAGTCCATCACGCTGCACTTTAGAGGCCGGCTCCATGGCATTTCAGTGAGTATGAAGAGCACGAGAAACATACATTTTCTTTCTTTTTTAACACTTTCTTTTTGAAAGTTTACATTATAAAGAAAAATCATACAGAATGTCATTGGGCCGTCAAATACATACTGTAGATGCAACAGTGCACATTTAAACCAGACTGCCAAAAAGCAGATCAAATATACCCCCCACCCCCAGCATGAAAGAAAACAACAACACATTTAAAAAAATAAAAATAAAAAAACTGAGTAAATTAGATGAGTATACACGTTCTCATAATAGACACAACAAAATAAAAACATTTCAAAGCAAACGACGAACAAAAAGACAAAATATATACAACACTTACAATATTGCTTTAGAAATTGTAGCAACACTCAAATCTATGCACAATCATCTTTAAAGAGTTCAATCCAGCTTGCACTTCGAAACACACATTTTCTCACTTTAAATTCACAGTGTCATAGCTACAATTATCATTACAGTGACATTTCCTCTCCAATGGTTTCTTGACAGTTTTCCCCACATTTTTGTTCTCCTGCAGCTATGTTATAGAGAAAGGCGTGGTGTACCTGGTGCTGTGTGAAGCCAGCTTTGCTAAGAAGCTGGCCTTTGCTTACCTTGAAGACCTGCAGGCAGAGTTTCATGAGCAGCATGGGAAGAAGGTCCCTACAGTTTCACGGCCATACTCCTTCATTGAATTTGGTAAGAAGGCAAGAGAGTCAGAAACAACTGAATGACTTACTCTGTGCAGAAAGTTGTTTCAAAAACATTAGAGACTATTATGTTGTATGATATGTTACAATGCCACATTACCTTTTTCTTTTCTGATCAGTGCTTTGTTTTCCCAAATGTAAAATCTATATACTGATAATTGGCTCTTGGGGTCGTTTTTAAAAAAAAGGTAACAAAAAAAAGACTGACTAAACTAAACACGTTTTTTTTTTTTTAAATCTAATTGATAAAGAAATAAGATTTAATGTAGATCTGTGACATGTAGCATGAGGTTAATTTCAATGATTGTATGGAGTTTGTAGATCAGTAACTCACACAATAAGATAAGCTTTCAGTCTTAACATCCATGCAAATTATAAGCCAGTTCCTTGAAGGGGAGAAATCATGAATCTCTGCCAATGCTGGCGCTCACTCGCCCAGCACTGCATCACTTTTTCTTTGGCAGTTTTTTGGCAGATCACAACAAAGCCTCCAAGCAGATGTTGCTCTCCGTTTCATAAAATGTACATTTTATACCTTTCAACCCACTTTCCCTGCATCGCCGGTCCCTTCCGCTATCCCACACTTCCTGTTATAACAATGTCCCTTGAACTGCATAGGAAATCAATTTGGAGCCAACTCAAATGCCCCTTCTCTAGTTTATTATGCCTCTTATTAAACCTATCAGAGAGGGGAAGTGGTCAAACACTCGGATATAAAAGTATATCAAGACTGTGGTAGAAAGAGCTGATAGGCGTGTTTTCCTCAAACTGCCTATCTGCTTGTTTCATTTGATGCCGCTTCCTCCCCAGACACCTACATCCAAAAAACCAAGAAGTCGTACATCGACAGCCGAGCGAGGAGGAACCTGGGCAGCATCAACACAGAGCTGCAGGACGTCCAGAGGATCATGGTGGCTAACATAGAGGAGGTGCTGCAGAGAGGAGAGGCTCTGTCGGGTAAGACCACGTTGACCCGGGTGAAATCATCGGTACAGGGGAACATTCCTGCTGACCGCAATAACTCTGTATAACAACTCACCTCCGACTGGAAGAGAACTCACTGCTCCATCTCTTTTGTTATCTAGATGTATAACTTATAAATGGACTTTTCTTCAAAGTCTATATTTATATTTAATGTAATATGCCATTCCTTGCACACCTACTTTGAAATTGTGTTGGATGTAATTTGGCCCTTCTTAGTGTTTATTTGTCAGATAGTCTACAGATGTATATCTTTAAAGGACAATTTGTATATATTTTACTTTTTAGTTCCGTTTTATTTTCTATTTTGAGATGTTTCTATTTTCTATTTGTTTTTTTCTACAGTTTTTATTTTTCAAATGATGTGTAATGCCTTGTTTTAGCATGCTGCTGTGACGCAAAATGTCCCAATTTGGGGTCGTTAAAGTAGGTCTTATCAATGCAGAGGGGAGGGATGCTTTTCATATTCACACTGTGATGCTCTTTTAGATGTTGTCCTTATCTGTCTCATTCCCCTCTTTTTTTCTCCTCTTGTCTCGTTTCCTCCTCTTCCCCCCCCCCTGCAGCGCTGGACTCCAAAGCCAGCAACTTGTCCAGCCTGTCCAAGAAGTACAGGAGCGACGCCAAGTATCTGAACACCCGCTCCACCTATGCCAAGCTGGCAGCCGGCGGCGTCTTTTTCATCATGCTCATTGTCTACGTACGCTTCTGGTGGCTCTGAGAGAGAAGAAGGGGAGAAGAAGGAATCGAAGAAGGAAATGAGCTGCAGAGAATCGGCAGACACTAAGAAAAGCTTTCACCTTTGACTAAAAACCGGATCTTAATAAGACTTTGCAGACATGCCACCGCCCGTTTTGTTCTCACCTGTCCATGGATGTGTGGACTGAATATAAATGATGTCATATCACATAGTTTTATTATTAACAATTATTCAGTAATGCGCTTGTAATTGCCCTGAAGAACGGTTAAAACAAAATGAGTGATCGTGAGTGTTTTGGTGTGAGTGCTCTGTTTCTGAAGGTGATGAAGAGTAAACACATTTCTTGTTTTGTGAGTTTACAAAGCTGTACTGTAACATGATTGATTCGCTCTTGTATAATGTCTGTAATAATACAGAGAAGAGCAAAGAAAACATAAGCCTATTTATCCTGAGCACGTCATATGGCTATCTGCATTCATTTACATTATAATCAAACGAGTTGTTCCACAGTTACAATCGCAAAAATGGCATTTATCATTTTAAGTTGAATTGACTCAGCTATCAACTAGGGAAAGTACTTTAAAAGTAAACTGTTGCATGGAAGTGGTGGTATAAGTGACTGCACAAACATTTTAAGGTTGTCAGAGAAGGAGGAAAGTCATGGAGTTTTTCTTTTTGCTGAAAGAAGGGTAGAGGTTAACTTAATATCAATCCAAATTCATATTTCAGCCTTGGTGATTGTCACAAAGCATATATTTAGTGTGCATAGTTGGTCATAAATGTGCTCAAAAAAATGTATCATGCAAATTACAACAATCCTGTCGAGGTTTAATTTTATATTTTTCGCTAGTGAATAGGACTTCTGTCAATTATAGGAAAAACAGCATAAGGATATTTATGTTTATGGGTAATACTGATTAAGTTATCTCTGCTGGCATTAGTTCCCCTCTTCTCCACATCAGCCTTCACAATGATTAGTTCCAGTTATCCTATGTTCTATTTTTGAGTTTAGCCTTTTAGGTATGCCTTTTTTCTGGAGAAGAGGAAGAAAAAATGGAGGGCCCACAGCCCCCCTACTCGCCAATAATGTCCTAAAGTTCCTCACCTCAACATTCATACACACTTTATCCTCCTTTGCACCACGACTGTGGACCAGCAGTGTTCTATAAGCAGGCATATTAAAAAAGAAGTGTGTGCTGCTTGGGTCCTTTTTATTTTGTATAAAGTTTCCACATGTAAACCAGAGAGTCTCTTTTTCTGTTCTGTCTGCTATCAATGAATAAAATGATTTGCACAAAACTCGCTTCCTTCCTTTCATGACCTTGAGTTGAACTGATGTTCTCATACTAAGAATGCAAAGAGATGCGTGCATTAGAACATTTCAGAATCAGAATACCTTTATTAGTCCCACAGAGGGGACATTTACGTTGTTACAGCAGAAAAAGAGCCAAAGACAGCTTAATGTTACATATGTTAAATGCATTAATAAAAAAAAGTTATAATATAATACAAAATATAATAAAAATAAAAAAGTCGCACAATTTACAAAATACACATCCTGTAACAGTTCTTAGGATTTAGCAGCCAGGTATAGGCTATATTGCGCAGTTATTAGCGGCATATATATTGCACAAATAGCACATATTGCACATAGTTGGTTGGTATTTAAGGGGTGTTATAGTCTGTGTTGTTGTGTGTGTGGTGGAAATTCTCACGGTTGGTTAAGCTCTATGACACACACACAAAACTGCATTTCCAAATGTTTCTAAGGCCCCGGCCACAGGGAGACGAAAACGAACCGAGGTCTATTGCAATAGAGTGGCGAAGTCCCGCCCATCTACTTCCGACCCATGGGACCTTATTTCGGAAAAATTATGTATTGAAGTCAATGGAGAGAGAAAGATTATCTTTCGATCCCGTTTGAATTGTGCCACGAATTACACATATGATGTTTGTCAATCTTAAAAAATCATTTCCATGTCAAAAAAGTCACCGTTTGTCGTAAAACTGTTGAAATATAAGACTATGAAAAATACGCAACTAGAAAGACTACAAATCCCAGAATCCCGGTCCCGCATGCTGGCCCAGCATGCGGGACCGGGATTCTGGGATTTGTAGTCTTTCTAGTTGCGTATTTTTCATAGTCTTATATTTCAACAGTTTTACGACAAACGGTGACTTTTNTCCATCTTTTCCACGCATGTGACAAGTTAGCATCATCAAAGTAAATGTTACCCGGCGGTTTGATTGCATTTTCCATGTCCACTCGTGCGTAGCACTGTCACTCGGGTCGTCTTCTTAGCTCCCTCTCGCTAGCCACTCAATCAATCCTCGTGATGCGCTAGAACGCTGTTCTCCAGGGCTGGATTCGTGTCGCTGCCACCATGTTTCAATATGTATTGTGTACTATACTGATAATAACGACACACTCTATCTTACTCTCACGTACTTTACTTGTTATGTTCGTTCCACAAGATACAATGCAACATCCTAGCCGTGCTAACTTCAGAACTGACGCTCATGCCTGGTCCCTCGACTCATGTCGTCCCCCCGGGCCACCTGTGCATCAACAAACAATGTCCCCCTGGCAAATATAGAGTGGCGAAGTCCCTCCCCTTCCGGGGGACCTCCATGGGACCTTATTTCGAAAAAAGTTCTTTCAATCCCGTCTCGCACCACACACCAAGATGGCCGTCACATTGGCACATTTCACTTCTTTCTTTCGGAATGAGGCGAAAAGTATTAAAAGAGGTGAAAATCACTCCAAGTCTGGGCACGTTGAGCGCTGTA